CTGCTTCTCCCTCTGACCCTCCCCCCTCTCATGTACTCTCTCTCTCTCTCATTCTGTCTCAAATAAATAAATAAAATCTTTACAAAAAAAATAAATAAAATAAAATAACCAACATGGTAAAGTCAAGAAGCTGAAAATTGTGCTGGTTTTGGCAGCACATATACTAAAATCGGTGTACAAATATTGAATCATTGTACACCTGAAAGTAACATGCCATGTCAATTAAAAAAAGAACCTGAAAATTATAGTTAGTGCATTCCCTGGAAATAACGGGGCAAATAATGGAATGGGCATGAAGAACAGCCTCATTTTTCTGTGTCCTACTCTTCAATTCATACAACTGTAGCCAAGAAGGAACAAACTGTAAAAGAAAAAAAAAAAATGTCTGTGTAACATACCCCAAAGGCAGATGATAGAAATTAGAACAGGCATGGTGAGAGCCTCACTCATTAAGTACATAAGGTATCCCCATCGTGATTACTTGGGAGGGGATTTTGCATTGTGACATATTTAGACTGCTGTCACAGCAGAGCTAAATGTTTATAAAATAACCTATATCGTATGCATGCTGAATTCGACTAAACAAATCCCTGAAAGTCTGCCAAAAGGGAAGAAAGCCCATCAAGAATCAGAGAGCTGAAATTCTGTTACAGTTCTTCCTGATCCGATGGGCTCTGCTGTTTTGAATCCTTTGTTTTTCCTGCAGTGATGGCATGTTGGTGCTGTTTGGGCTAAGTAGGTGTGCTGTGTTTGATGTGGTTGACTGTGATGTCTATGATGTGGAAGGGAGCCAGGGAAAGCCTCTTTCCGTGGCAAAGAGTATAAGGAAGCGGAACCTAAATAAAGTGTGAAGGGAGCTGGAGGAGGAAAGTAAGAAGCGATGGGCAAAAGAGGTAGGGGGATGCAAGCATAGAGAATAAACACAGGTACACATTTACACAGGTAAATGGCCTGTTTCCAGAGGGGACTCATGAAATCTGTTCTTTGCACAAGGCAAGTGAAACAGTGTATCCTCTAGCTCAATCAGCATTAATTTAAATAGTTGAAACAAACC